TCAGTGGACCGGCAATGCATAATTAGATCTCATGTGACCTTGTTTGTTCATTATTGTAGCAACATAAATTTTGTGCTTTCTCACTATGAGGCAGGCTAGAATTTGAGAAGAATCACGTCATAGGACTCCAATGAATAAATGAGATATACAAGGAAAAACCCTTATACCTGCTGATAAGCATGGAAGCAGAGAGCAGCAATGAGAGACCTTGTGTACAGCTGGTTGACATTCACTCCCTAGCACCAAAGGAAAATCATGAAAGTTTTTTCAAATAGTTGCAGCAATTTCTACAATGGAACAATGGAAAAACACCCAGAGGTTCTATTTAAGCAAAGGGGTAGAACCAGTACAAATTTCCACTTTATATAAGTATTACTTACTGCAGCTTCCAGGTATGCTGGGGTGAACTTGACACCTTCCGCGAAAAAGGCGTACGGGGCCAGCAAGAAAAAGGACATGATCGTGATTATTGAAAAGAGAGTAATATTATCCAATGAGTCCTGTTAAAAAATTACAACAGTAAACTTCACAGCATTTCAGAAACCAACAAAAACCACCCAAGAGACATAATGTCTAGTAAAGGCAATAAGGCTAATCTAGAAACAAGCTAGTTACTTGATGAAAAATGGAAAAGAACTATTGAACACCACACAAACAATTTGCTCTCACAAATACCATTTAATATAAGCTTGAAATATTAGCCAAAGAACTCTTCAACTTTGGGTGCACAATTTCTTCATACCCTCATCAAATAGCACGAAATAAATATAATTACCTCCTTCCGAACCATAAACTTCTTGCTGAGGACATTACGAGATTGATTGGTTAAATTAGAGGCCATTGCACTCCAAAATCCAGCCCTGGTATTCGAGAAAACAAGAACTGTATATTAAAATTTGAAATAAAACTTTTATCAAAAGTGTCTCCTATTTCTATACCAAGAAAGCAACAAAATCATATGGCACAATTGAACATAGAACGTTTGAATTCCCTACCAATTAAAAGAGGCCTCGGTCAACGATGCCAGTGCCACTCCACCAACAATTGGTACAAGAGAAGACATAACCCATATGGTAGGGAACTGCATGAACAAGACACATCCAATGTCACTAACTATAATAGCATAGATCAGAAGACAAAGAACTACATGGAAGTGAATATCTTTTCTTTTCAAGTACTGGAAGCATAAATATGATCTGAATTAAGATGAAAATAAAAGGAAAAAGAGATTGAAATATAGTTGTATTCGCCTTATCACAAGATGAATGCAAGCTACGTTGCTCGGACTCTGCTAAAATGTTGCCAGGTGCGCGTCGGATCCTCCAAAAGTAGTGCATTTTGGAGGATCCGATACGGGAGAGACACATTTTTGGAGAGTCCGCGGAACATAGAATGCAAGACCTTTATATAGAAATGTTAAAGTAATCATCTAAAGCTCACCTCGCCTAAGAACATAGCAGAGAGAACAACAGAGAAGAATGGCTCCATAGCTTTAATAGTGTGAGTGAATGACACAGCAACTTTTCCAAGACTCATGTTGGTGAAAAGGTTGCCCAAGGTATGCACCACTGCCAGCGGCAAAATTGCAACAAGCTGCCAATTGAAAATTTAGAATCAGAGCTTGTGCACATAATCAGGTCTAAATCAAAGCATGGTAAATCCGTCTCAATGAAGTTACCTGTGCACCACTGATTTTTGGCCTTTTATACAGATTGAGAGTCCACATTAGAATTACAAGGACACTGCCAACAGCAAATTGCACGAGAGTCACTGTAACTGGGTAATGGAACGCTTTCAGCACCTACAGAATATACGAATCTTAATTAATTACACACCTTGCCATGTATGGAAACACAAAAGGTAACATTTCTATTTAGTGAGGGATTCAAAATCACTTCAATTAAGTTGCAAACTATATATAAATGTAGGTTGAAAATGGCTAAAATTGCAAACATATATACTCAGCGAATACATAATTCAAAAAAAAAAAAAACAATTAACATCTGACGAAGTTTAAATCTAAAGTCTGAAAAATTTGAACGATACATGCCTTGAAGAACCTCATAAATTACAATACATGCATGCATTTGTACATACAAAAAAACACTATCAACCACAAGAAATGAAGCAATACACGTATAAACAAATAGTATAAGCAACTAGGACCTCAGATCAGCGGAAGTAAAGCACACCTGTTTGTTGTAAATGTTGAAGTAGATGTTAAATAGATACCAAAGACCGAAAAGCGATCCGAGCACCAAAGTATCCGTCAAAGGCTTGGATTTAGGGGCCTCTCCAGCGTTCTCGGGCACGGATGTGGCCCGAACCTCCACTCCGTCCGATTCACGCTCGGGAGTCGGCGGCGGAACTGAAATCCACCCATTACGATTCAACGAATCGGCTGAGCAACGAATAGGATTGATTTTCCGAGCTACGGAGCCATTTAGAGAGCCAAAACGAAGCGTCGGATGAGAAGATTGGGGAGATAAAGGATTGAATCTGAACAACGAAGCTGAACCAGAAGGCTTGTGAGGCTTCTTAGGAAGTGAAATTGACGGAGAAAACGAGATTGCAGTGCTCTGCATTTTGGCGAATCAGATCAGGGAAACTAATCTGCAGCAGAGAGAGAATGAGAAGATAAGAAGACGAGAAGAGATGAATATATATTCTAAGGTAGAAAGAGGGAAAGTGTGAGGAGGCGTTGGGGGCTCCGTCGAGGCGTGAGAAGTGAAGTGCAAACAGAGAGGAAAAATCAGAGAGTTCAGAAATGTTTAGGGGATATTCTTGATATTTTCGGTAACTTTTGGGGGTGTGCTTTTTCTATGATTTTGAATTGTGGGTTGGGTTGGTGAACCCAAAAGGTGGTTGGGGACGGACCCAGGACAAATTTGTGGTAGAATCATTTCCACACCAACCTGGAACGATTGTGATTGGTTAAAAATAAAAAAGAAATTGTATAAGGGTGAAATCGGGAGTAACATATACCCGATTTTCCGGTGGGTCAGACGAAGCAAGGATATGGTTACACGGGATCGTAATTGAAGCTGAGAACTTCTTGTAGAAAGGCCCGAGTAAAGTACTCGCCAGCGGACTTGATAAAACGATACACCTCGGACCCAGGAGGTGTTCTGAGACTTCCGGAAGCGCATGAACGGTTGCACACGACTAACGGAGGGCTGTGATATCCGCGTCCAACCGGATATTACGGCGCAGATCTTGCCCGATATCAGTAACGGATCAGTAATTAACGAGAAAGGAATATTTTTATATTTTTTAGACTTGTGCTAGGGGTGAAACTCTCATACTATATAAAGAGGAAGCTTTTATTTCAATAGCACACATTGTAATGTGCATACCAAGGCAATACAAACTTATTTCTCCGCTTTTTAGGTATTAAAACGTACTTCATTTATTGTTGTTCTTGTATATGTTTGGCTTCGAACCAAGGGTCTAATAAAGACCAAAATTAATGTTCATCCCATATCCGAGCTTGGTCGTGACATCACAATTAGTTTGGTTATTTATTCTACATTTAATTCGTTTATCTAGCATTTTTGATTATTTGTGTTGAATCAATCAACGTATCCTTAAAACCGCATATAAATTCAATTGTATCCGTTTTAAGGATAAACAAAAATAAGTACCGAACAGACAACAGAAGTATGTGTTGCAAGCAGAGGCGGATCCAGGATTTAAATCTTATGTGTTCAATTTTATTAACATTGAACCCAATATATTTTTAAAGTTATGGTTTTATATCTACTAATTTTGTAATTTTAAAACATACAAACAAACCAGAACTATTAGAACTCGATTCCAAGTCCGTTATCCAAAAATTAAATCTTGATCAACTCTGACAACTTGAAGTTTCCCAATAGGAACTAAGTGTTTGGAATACGTAGTTGCTGTTTAGATCAAATTACAATTACAGTATTACACACATAATGCTATCTTTTTATCTAATGAATGTGCCGCACTGGCCATGGTACATTAATTTCCAAAATTGTTCATACGTAGCATAGTAGTACTACTTCTTAACCTAATATAATCATAATTTTGTGTAAGAAATTCCTGGGGTTTACCGATCACGACCAAATAAAACATTAAAGTGCTTTGTGTTTCCGTTAGGATTATTAGAATAATACATCGAAATCCTCGAAACTGGTTTGCTTAGGAACCTTTCTTTATTTATGTATTTGCATCATCAAGTCCAAGATTCATGTCCCTGAAGTACGAAGCTCCTTATAATTTCCAAGACAATATTCTTTGGAAAATAACTGTTATACTGTTGCTTCGTATTCCTCCTTACTCCCTCCTCCATCCTAGGCTCCTAGCGTAATTTTCTAAATTTAACTAAACAAGAATACTAAGGGCAGAATTATGTGTGTTTTATTTGAAGGATCCTATAAGATCAAGATAGATGGCATTATGTCATAGAAGAAAAAGATAACTCATTCTGGAATAAAGGGAGTAAATAGTATTTAAGAAACTTAATATATTAAAAGGTAAGGCATTCACCGCTAGTGCTCTATTATAAGGAAAAGGACAACACAAGATGTTTAGTTTGAAGACCATATGCATAGGACTTCATTTCCCACCAAAGTTCTACTACTACACTATTTAATGACTACAAAGAACGTTCCTAACAAAAACAAGGCTGCCAATTAGGCAACAATTCGACCCTATCACACCATAAAAGCAAAAACGCACTTCTCCTAATCTTTTTAGGTTAGGTCGTCATTAATTAAAGTATGTATGACAGGTGAAATGGAACAGTAGATCTAGGAGACTTTGGAAGAACGCATCTAGATAGATTCATGACATATATTCATATACTTTTTTTAGTATAAAATTTGCTTCTTATTTAACTTGTAGTTGCCATAAGCATCTTTACCATTTTTGTTGCTACTTGCAACTTGCAAATATCCAGAGCTACCATCTCCTAGTGCAGTGGTCCATAATGGTTTTTACCCCCTGATAAGCATAAGAAACAATGCCCAATCCAGAAAAAAGACCATCCTCGTTTCATCTGTACTGTATTCATATAGTTAAGAAATGCACAATTCATGATTGTAATAAACATTACAACCAGTTCTTAAATTAAACATTCCTCCCTTAACACAAAGATGATGATGATTGCAAGTGTTCGTAAACATCTTCATGACATGTAAACTTGAACACTTGCAGTCTTCATTACCTGACATACTGGGCAACTATTAATAAACCCTTCACATTCTTTACAAAGGCACAAGTGTCTGCATGGAAATAACAAGACACTGACGTCTTTACTCTTGCAAGCTCTGCATTTTAGCTGCTGTATTTGGGGCACTTGGTCTTGCGAACCGCTTGCCAAACCAAGATGGTTTGTACTTGAGGCAGCATCATTTACTTCACTATCTCCGCAGCCTTCCTGAACTTGCATGGAACCATGGGCCATGGCCTGCTGAATATTGCTTTTCAGGGCATTGGCAACCGACTCGTTGTACTTTGCTCTGTAATGCCATGATTGAGCTTCTACAGTAATCTGCTTTATTCTCTCCCCAAGTTCCTTGTTCTTGCGGTTCAAATTGTCTATTTCAAGATCTTTCTCGTATAATCTCTTGTTAACTTCTTTTTGCAAGGAGTTCAGTAAAGATACTGTCTGTCGATGAATCAACTCCCTCATGCCCTTCATCATATTATCTTCCTGAGATACCAAGGATGAATCAGTAGTGGCAAAAGACAGACTTCAGAAAATACAATTTAAATGCAGAAAAATACAGAACATGTTAGTGTCATCCAACCTCCCAAGTCATTTCTCACACTATTTGATGCCCCTAAGCTAGCGTTTGGACATAGATTTAGTTGAAACTTGAAAAAATAATTTTTGAAGTAGTTTTGAAAAATAATTTTTGGAAGTTGAAATTATGTTTGGACATGCATTTTATTTGAAAAAAATTTGAAGTTTTGTGTGTGGGAGAACAAGTTTCACCCAAAATCTACCCTAAACTAGATTTTGGAAACTTGAAAAATAATTTCAGAAATTTTTCAAAAATAGATCATTAATCTACGAACAAACAATGTTTTCAAAAAAGATTTGAAAAAACGCTGCCAAAATGTATGGCCAAACGGGGATGTTTGCCCAATTCTCAGAAATAAAATAGAAACACCAACCTTGTGGCAATGCATACATGGAGATGCTCTTACTCATAGAATCAACAATTTTTAGAAGTAAAATCCCGGCCAATCAAAAGATACATAATGATGACTAGATGCATGCGAAAGCCTTTATCAGTAGGTAGACATAGATATCAAGAATGGATAGTACAGAAACGTATTCCTTTTTCATACAGTTGTGTAACTTAATCCAGATCAATAAAAATTTAACATGCCAAATTTCAGATAAAGTTAATAACTACATCACGCTTTCTCTAAAAAAATATTACATTACCTGCACTTTTATGTACCGATCAAATTCTTCTCTTTGCCTGTCAATCTCACATTTAAAACCACTGTCTATCGGAAGAAAAGCAGGAAGGGCTGCTTTCATGTTCTCAGGAGCAGAAGTGACTGAGGAATTACGTTCTTTTTCCTCATAAGAAAGTCTGAGTCCAGTTGATACAGTATTTGGATTCAAAATGCTTCCAGCTTGATCCACTTCATTCTGACAAAAGTTGTTATTCAAGGATATCTTAAGCTTTTGCTGGCTATAGTTTGGTTCAGCATCCCGGACTCTTTTGGTGGGGCGAATTGCAGCAGATGGGTGTCCATTCACTGTGTTGCTTATCGGGTATCCACTACACCCAACGTTAACTGAAAAAGATGAATAAAAAATGTCCATGAGATCCGAGGAAATAAGACCTTGAGGTTGTACCTGCGGAGCCTCTGGAAAAATTTCCTCAAGTCCTTGACATGGTCACATTGCTTCCTTGACTTTATGATCACGTCATCTACGTAGACCTCAATTTCCCGATGTATCATGTCATGGAACATGGTGGTCATCGCCCTCATATATGTTGCCCCTGCGTTCTCAATCCAAATGGCATGACCCTATAACAATACGTTCCCCAAGGCATGATGAATGCCGTCTTTTCCGCATCCTCCTCATCCATCAAAATCTGGTGATAGCCCGCATAACAATCCACGAAGGAACCAATCTCTTGTTTGGCACAATTGTCAATCAATATATGGATGTTTGGCAGTGGGAAGTTGTCTTTTGGACTCGCCTTATTGAGATCACGGTAATCTACGCACACTCTGGTCTTTCCATCCTTCTTTGGCACAGGCACAACATTGGCTAACCAGGTGGGATACCGCGTGACCCGTATGACCTTTGCCTCAAACTGCTTGGTGACCTCTTCTTTGATTTTCACACTAATGTCTGTTTTAAATTTCCTTAGCTTCTGCTTGACAGGAGGGCATGCTGGGTCAGTGGGCAATTTGTGGACCACCAAATCAGTGCTTAAACCAGGCATGTCGTCATATGACCATGCAAAAACATCCTTATACTCAAACAGTGCTTTAATTATCTCTTCTCTGAGCTGAGGTTCCAAATGGACACTTATTTTCGTTTCCCGCACATTCTCCTGATCCCCTAAATTGATTGCCTCTGTGTCGTTCAGATTAGGTTTGGGTTTTTCTTCAAAATGGCTTAATTCTTTACTAATTTCCTCAAAAGCTTCCTCATCATCATATTCTATTTTGTCATCACACTCAATTTCTTGTATTATTATGTCTGAGTTAGATTGACATTTAAGACAGGGCCGAAGACTCCTCATGCATGACATATCACGGAAACCAGCGTAAAAGGGACTGTACAAGAAGGAAAGAAAGACAAAATAAAAACTATCAGGAATGAAAAAGGAGGAAAATTGCATTTCATTAATATTTAAGATAACAAGGTTTAACTCATCCAAACGGACGGAACATAGCATCTGAATTACAACCTTGGAAATAATCCAGATTAAACTGAAAGGAAATCAAAAACTAACTACCAAGACTCCCTCCGNCATGTCAGGGGCAACACTCTGGTCCAAGCACGAAAATAATTAAAATGAGAGAGTCTTATTGGTGAAAACCCTCACGGGCACCGTAATGCGACGGGAGCTGAGAGAAATGAAAAATGAGAGAGTCTTATTGGTGAAAACCTTCACGGGCACCTTAAGGCGAAAGTGAGTTGAGAGATGCACAGAGGTCTGCTGGTGAAAGCCTTCCAGGGCACCGCAGGATAAACAAGGTCAAGGTTTGGGTGAAGAAATCAGGTTGTGGAGTTCCAGGGCAACAAACTATGACAACTGGAAGTTGATTGGTTGGACAGATTGGGCCGGTCAATCCAAAATGCATGTCATGATCAATGGTACCAGCTGTTCCACTTAGATAAGTCTCTTTTTCTTTTTCTTTTCAGTAAGTCGTCCAGTTTTGGATTTTCTTTATCCGTAACTCTCGAGGTCATTGTATTTCATTTCTTTTGGGGTCTGTTTCTCTAAGATGTTTCAATGTCAGTCTTGTTCAAAGCAAATAAGAAAGGATTTCAAAGCTCACTACCAACCTCCAAAGTTGCAAAGCACAGTGTGGCCAGAATATACCAAAGGTAGCAGGATGTAAAGTGGGATATATGGAGTCACCGAAAGTTTCATCGGTGGAATGACTTGTTAATTTCATGGGAAAGACAAAGGTTCAGAGAAACGGGGATGTTTGCCCAATTCTCAGAAATAAAATAGAAACACCAACCTTGTGGCAATGCATACATGGAGATGCTCTTACTCATAGAATCAACAATTTTTAGAAGTAAAATCCCGGCCAATCAAAAGATACATAGTGATGACTAGATGCATGCGAAAGCCTTTATCAGTAGGTAGACATAGATATCAAGAATGGATAGTACAGAAACGTATTCCTTTTTCATACAGTTGTGTAACTTAATCCAGATCAATAAAAAATTTAACATGCCAAATTTCAGATAAAGTTAATAACTACATCACGCTTTCTCAAAAAAATAATTACATTACCTGCACTTTTATGTACCGATCAAATTCTTCTCTTTGCCTGTCAATCTCACATTTAAAACCACTGTCTATCGGAAGAAAAGCAGGAAGGGCTGCTTTCATGTTCTCAGGAGCAGAAGTGACTGAGGAATTACGTTCTTTTTCCTCATAAGAAAGTCTGAGTCCAGTTGATACAGTATTTGGATTCAAAATGCTTCCAGCTTGATCCACTTCATTCTGACAAAAGTTGTTATTCAAGGATATCTTAAGCTTTTGCTGGCTATAGTTTGGTTCAGCATCCCGGACTCTTTTGGTGGGGCGAATTGCAGCAGATGGGTGTCCATTCACTGTGTTGCTTATCGGGTATCCACTACACCCAACGTTAACTGAAAAAGATGAATAAAAAATGTCCATGAGATCCGAGGAAATAAGACCAGGAAATATTAACACCACTCCGTCTATTCTTTTCTTAATAAGGATTAACACCACTCTGTCTAGAACTAGACAGATGTGGTTAAATTTCTTTGGGGAAAAACCATGCAAAGGAGCACCAAAGAAAGGACAATCAGCGAATAAGTGCGCAAAACAATGCATGCTCGTTGATAGAAAGCGTTAAAACTTTCTGATTTGGTTGTTGGTTGGGGGTTGGGGGGGTTATGTGTCTTCAAATAAAGATGCACGACTGAAGCACATGGAGAAAATCTACCATGCCTGAGTTAGATAAAAGCAAAGACCTCAGCCTTTTGACAAAGGGGTGAAGATACATTCGGCACATAAAATTTGACTTCTTAAATATTCATAATCCAAGAAAGCAGTGCGTATGGAGAAAGGACGGCACAAATTATAAAGTAACAGTTTTAGCTAAGCACACTAATTAACCGTCTCTGAATATAAAACAAGTATCATATACATAATCAGAATAACAAATAGAGTGAGTATTGACATCATCATAAGCATTAACGGTAGTCTTTCCATTGCCCCCTTACCCAGAAGTGACTAAGTAGCATATTGTTTGTGTGTAGAGCGTACCTTTATTGGTCAGATATCAAAATGATACTGTCCCAAATCAGGTATCATATTGAACAGAGTCCTTAAATTTAAATGGTAGAAAATAATAAGAGAATATGAATGTGCTTCATCTTGATGACATTCTGGCCATACAGTCACTATTTCCTTTTCTGGACAGTTGCAAGGCTCACCGTTCACCAGCCACAACTAATACACCAATGGAACCTCATCTAACAGCTACAGCCTACAGATAAAGATTTATTTCTTGGAAGCAACAAATAAGATTGAGCGGAAGGGACAGAATGAATACCCAACCCTTCTTTACCTCGAGTTCGAATCGTTTACGCCAGACAACAATTCCCAACTCATTATTTGGACTTCTGTTTCAAATAGAATTAAGAGGGTGTTTGGATTGGCTTATAAAAATTAGTAGCTTTTAAGCTAAAAGCCAAAAGCCATAAGTTGGTAATACCCAACTTTTGGCTTTTGGCTTATTTTTGTACTTTTTATGCCTAAAAGTAAGTGCTTTTAAGCACTTTTTATCATTGCCAAACACCACAAAAACTAAAAAAGTGCTTAAAAGCCAATAATCACTTAAAATAAGCCAATCCAAACACCCACTAAGTCACAAAAACATAATGACATATTCAGACTAAAAAAGCTCTAGGTTTTAGCATGAGCTACTCAACTGTCTGAAGATATCTCGCAAAAGGTTACATGTACCCAGCGGCAGAGGCAGGATTTTTGCTAAGGGGGTTCAAAAAAGAAAAAAGTTAAAAACAATTGTAGCTAGTGAGAATTGAACCAATGACCCTACAAAGGTTTTGAACCCCCTTGACCACTAAACTATGCTTTTGGGCTGTGTCAAGGGGATTCAAAACATAATATATAGAGGTAAAAAAGATTTTGCCTTATATATACAGTGTAAAGTCTTCGGCAGAGAGGTTTCGGGTGAACCCTCTTCCGCCCCCCCTAAATCCGCCCCTGCATGCACCTCTACTCTTAGATATGCAAGACATATTTAAAGTCTATGAAAATCAAATTGATCTACAAGATAAAGCTGAAGAAAGAAACAACAAAGACGATCTCAATTTCCTCAAGCGAGCTGAAGATCTGAACAAGAACAACAGGCACCTATCATTTTTAATGTCTTCCTTGCATTCTTCAAATTTACATTAAAACAAGTCTTCGGCCCATCTCCTAGAACGGTTCCACGTAAAGAGAGATTTTATAAAATCAGCATAAGCTCAAAACCTTCACCAACATATAGTCGTGAAATGTATTTCCTACATGCTGGCTTCTTCTCCTGTCTCCTCTTTCTACCCAATTTTAGGTCTTAACATGATAGACTAAAGACGTTGAAGAGAATGCTAATAGTGCAGGCGATCATTATCATGAGCCAAGGGTGCAACTTGTCTATTCTAGCTCTCTAAGAATTCCTGATTAGACACTCAACCAATTGCCAATGCCTCACCTCAGGCTTTAGGCATTGGAGGTGCCGAACAACCACAAAGACAAGGTACTCTCCACATACACCCTGGAACAATTTGAATTCATCTGCCCGAGGTGCAATACAAGCCTATGGCCTAGTTTTCACTCAAAGGAGTCTTTATAACACCAAAATAGATCAGTTCGTATCAACCTTCTGGAATTGCTTTAACTCAAGAACTAGAACGTTATGCAAAGCCATGCTGAACATGGAAATTCACACACACGCACCAAAAAAAAAACATAGAGACTGCATTAACAATCAATCTACCAGATTCGTGACGAAAAATCAAGCAGGAAAGCAGCACATAAAAGAGGAAAATAATGAATCAAATTAGTGAGTACTTATTATATTGCAAAACAAAAATTCTTATTGGAGGCTGCTGATATGTAAAATTCTTTTGGAAGCAATTGGGAAACTCACTATCTCCAAACAATTGCAGCTGAGGCAATGCACTCGCATCGTACTGGAAACAATTCCCCTCTAATAACGCTGGAAACAAAGTGTTGCCTTTACTTCCTTCTCCAAACATATTCCTGAAAAATTATAGTAGGACCAATTGAATCTCAATAAACCACAACCTCTGGAGCTAATAACTACTATAAGAAACCACAAGCGGATACCCTTTTTCGAGGCTAAACCCTAACAATGGTTCCACAAATGAAATAAATGCGATCGATCGACTCGGCAAACATAAAATCCCATGTCCCAAATGGCCATAAAAACAACAGAAAACTAAAAAAGTGCCCAGATAACAAGAATAAAAACAGATTGGGTACCTCAAAAACTGGAAATCTCAGAGAAGTAGCGGCAGATCTGAAGGAGCGATTATTAGTAAGAAGAAAGAGTGGAGAAGAGGAAGAAAGGGAGAGAAAAGATGGGAGAGAAGTGGGGGAGAGGTATAGGAAGAAGCATAATAATAATAACAGTAGATGGAGAGAAGTGGTGGTGGTGTAATAGTTGTGGGGAAAGGTTTCGGTTAAGAAAAACGATTCCATTCGTTGGCTTTGGCGTCGGAATTGGTGTTGGTGATGCAAATCACAAGACTCGTTGAAGAAATCTTGCCCTTTTCCTTGCCTTGTTAGTACTCTCTCTCTCACTTTCTCTTTCATAATACTCTGTCTTTGGCAGCTTTCTTTTCGTTTTCCCACCAGTTTTTTAATTTATTTCGGTTACGTTCTGCTCCATTGAATTTACCTTATTGCCCCTCGATCTCCCACCAAATCTGCAACTTTTCCGCATCGGCATTTTACCCGATATTAGTATGTTACACCTAATATAGTACCTAATCACCTATTATCTCCTTTTATTTTCTTGGTACATATATCACCATGATAAATTGAAAGTTTGTGGTCAATCTAAATTGGTAGTAGGCGTATATACCAAGTACAGGTAAGTTACCTCTAAATTAATAACTGATTTACAGGAGTTAGTCCAATTATAAAAATTTGAAGAAATTTTTATTTTTATTGGTGATGAATTTTTCATTCTATTTAAAAGGGTGTAATTCAATAATAAACATAGAATAACAATAAGAAAATAATAAAATTCGAACAAAGTATAATTTATGGATAGAAATGGTATCTAATCATTTTCAGTCCTTCAATTTTTGTTCTTGATTAATATCTTTGATAAATTCCTTTGCAATTGTTCATCGTATCATGAAATATGAAAGGCTTGGGTCTTATCCACTACTTTCTTGGTATGGAAGTGTAAGGTGCAGTCTTATCCTTCGTCAGAAATATGCCCTAGATCTCTTGCCCCGTGCAAGTATGCTTGGTTATCGTCCTTTGGCCATTCCTCTTAATAGTGGTAATGAGCTTCCCAAATTTCATCTCAAACTCGCTCACCCACCATAACATTTATATGAGTTTCTGTGTCAAATGTCAATCATCTTCGCTCCTCTCATTATGTTGTATGTAGCTTATAACTGCAATCCTAATTTGATTATTTTATATTTGTTAATGTACTTCACAATTCACATTAATTGGTTGATATGATCGGCTTATTTCTGATCTACTAGATTAAATATTGAATCAGCTACACTATCTAGCACATAAGAAAAAAATGGCATTTTAAATCCAAGAATTTCGTATATCATTGCTTTAAAGCTTTTTCGTTAGCGGGCAAAGTACTAAGAGCCCGTTTGGACATACAATTTTTTTTCCTTTTTTCAAAAAAATTTTACTTTTTTTCGAAATGAGTGTTTGTTCATAAAATTTCAAATTTTCACTTGAAGATACATTTTGAAAAATTTCGAAAATTTGAAAAACTCCAAAAAACTGTTTTTCAAAATTCACTCAAATCACTCACAAAACTTCAAAAACAACCCAAACTGAAATTTATGTCCAAACACAACTCTAAATTTCAAATAGCATTTTCACTTAAAAAAAATTTCACCATTCTTTGGGATTTTACAATTCTGATGTCCAAACGCCTACTAAATCTAAGCATGGGGTGTTCAATTAAAATTGGGACAATTTTTTTGGGGGCATAGTAGCTAGAAAGGGTATAATAGTAAAGTTGGAATGATGCCATAGTTACTTCCAAAGGGGTTCTTGTCTGCAGGGGGTGGTCGGTCCTAGCTAGGCCAACAATCATCCACCCAAAGAATGACATTTATGAGTGGAACCCAAAACTCTCAACAAATTCCTTTTTTTAATTAGTAAAAAAGGGAAAGGAGATAGATGAGACGTGAAGAATCACGAGGAAAATTTGGTAATCTAATTGATTGAACATGTTGGCGATGATATATAATGATGATAAGCATCCGGTCCGCGTATACAGAGATACACACACAGCAAGGTGGTGCCAATTAACGTGACAGAGGAGTCAGTAGACACGCATGTGACACATGACTTCAAAGCCGGCTGCGACCACTCCACTTTGTGGGACCCGTTAGCGTTTCTTTTTTTGAAATTTCACTCGGTGCCCAATACACGTATTGGACCCGATTAAATCTGAATTTGCATCGGAAAGTCCCATGTTTATCCTAAAATTTGAGTAACAATTAAACTCATATTGTGGTTTTAAACATATGTGATTTAATTCAATACCAATTAATAAACAAAAATTTAAATATATAAATTGAAGAAGTAAAGCAAATCAAACCAGTATGCAAGCCAAGTCTTGACCTCGAGTTATGGTGGCCTCGAGGTAGGTTAGTAAGAAAGTGAAGAATGTATATTCTTTTGTCAATGAATCGTGTGTTACAAATGAATGAGATCCTCTTTATATAGCAGGGGAATCCTAAATAAGGTACACTTCTAATTATAGTAGGGAATCTCATTATACAACTGTCTAACCGCCACGTACAAATCTGTTCCGAAATTTACGCCGGGATCTTCGGGCCGTTGCGGGAATCTCGCTCTTTCTGTTAATAAACCATAATGGTATTATTTCGACGTTGGTCATACCCGGCCTTGACTTTCATCGAGCACTTCGGTCTTCAAGTTCTATATTCCGCCATCGGGCTCGAGCTAGGTCCGTTTTGAGCTTTTTCTCGAAGCAACTCCCCGAGCATACGAAATTAAACATACCTGATTTCGACCGTGTACATCCCATTTTGAGGTAAAACACTCACTAAGAAAGGCAATTTCATACATAGAACAGAAAGCTGAAATATTTGATACTTATTATTCCACTGTTACTCTTAGTTTCGTTAGCATTCTTATTTGATACTTATCATTTCACCGTAACCCTTATAAGCTTAGGAGTAATATGTTGTGCATGACAAGTGACACCTAATTTGGTCTGGATTCAATCGGAACTTGGAAGACCAATATGCGGTTTACCAAAAAAATGGAAGAGTAATAGATGTATATACTTGTATTATTTTAGACTCCCTTTTTCCTGGTACGAATTCAATCGGCAAAATAGCAACTCAAAAACAAAATAAGGGTTAGGTAACATGGTGATTACTGAAGCAAAGTAGTAA